GATCACAGTGTGGAGCAGACATGTTAACCCCTTTTTACAGATAAAGCTGAGGTTCAGAGAGATGATTTAATTTGTGGGGCTGAGACTAGACTCCAACTTAAGTTGACAACAAGCCCCTCTTGTCTGCAGGGTGTTTTGCATGAAAACAGCTTTCCAGCCAGGCCTGGACCTTTTACTTCAAAGGGCAAAGGGACATATTTTTCCTTTTATGTCTTTCCATGGCCTGTTTTTTTATTCTGGTTTCAGATTGCCAGTCTGGCTACAATCCTCTGTCATTGGTCAGTAATTCCCTGGGTCATATTCCACAGTCAAAGATGGAGGTAATTGCTTCAACATGTGGTCCACTAAGGAGAGGATAAGTTAAAAGGCAAATTATTTTTATCAGCTCTGGTCAGAACCTGAGCTTTGGAAGGAGGAAATGATGGGTTTTTGTGAGATGTAAACTTACTTTCATCTCTAAGAAAGGAGAGATGCTTGGCCTTCTGGAAGTGGTTAGTGATAGTGATGAATTGAGGGGGGTGAGTGATAATTTTTTCTTGATTTTTTTCCTTAAGCTTTATTACCCAATTTTATGGTCCTTTGTAATGAGTTAAGCCAATCAGCCTGCTAGTTCCTCTGTTCTCTCATTTATGTGATGAGTCTTCAAAAAGTCCACAGAAAATGTATATTATTAAAAAATCTGTGTATGCATTTCAAATTTATATTTCCCCCAAATAAACTTACCTTGTAATTCCATTTTCCATGAGCCTTTTCAAATCCCTTTAAACCAGAAACTTTGAGACAGAAGCGGAAAGTTGTGTATGAAGCCTTGGTCCCTTCCCCTTAGCCCTCTACCTCCTTCACTTTTGATTCCCAGGCTGTGTGACTATGAGAGATCCCAGAAGATCCAACCCTGGAGGGTAAGTTGTCTATAGCAGGGGCAAGCTTGCCATCAAGGGTGCTTATAGGTTGGATCCCAAGCTCATGGGTCTTGGTGCTAAGGTCTAAAGCACCCAAAAAATGTTCTCCTTAAAGGATAGACAGATTAAAAGCAACAAGCCATGGAAATGGAGAAAAACAAGAAGACAAGGAAATTCTGGAACAAACGATATGAAGTGGAGGTTGGTCACCACAACCAATGTTATTTCTTTGCTGTACTTGGTAAAGGCATAAGCCAGTCTCTGGCAGGCAGATGTCTTGCTGAGAAGTTATGCAAAGATAAGACAGCAGGGATAGATTATTCTTTTTAAGAGCTTAATTTGAAGAGGAGATGGAGAGTATAAAAAGCAGAGAGAGGCTTTTACACAGATGGGGAGAAAGAGAAAGAGCTAACATGTGCGTTAGGGAGAGGGCAAAGTCAAGGTGGACATTTCTTTAGAATGTCAGAAATTTAATCATGTTTATGGCCTGAAGGATGGAAGCTGATGGTAGAGATGTCAGAAAGGATGATTCATGTACTCACCCTATGCTAACACAGAACTTGGTGGGAACTTCCTCAGAGGCAGCTAGAGGTGAGGATGAGTCATTATAAGTTATCAGCTATGAGAGGAAACATGACTGTAATGTAGAAAACAAAGCCATAGACTACAGGTTAGACAGGAGGGTAACTTTAAGGCCTGTCAAGTTGTATGAGACATGAAGAACCTGGAGACTGAAAAATGTCCCAAAGCAGGAAGGCCAGTCACATGGTAGATAAGAACAACTTCTAGAAACATTATGTCTTTTGATGTGTGACTTGGAAAGCTTACTGATCCAGGGAACAATTCTGTAAGGTCAAAAAACATGACAGCAAAGATGTCAATGTACAGTTAGGGCAGTTCCATCTTAGAAAGGAGTTATCTGCTAGTTTTCTCCAAGAAATTTAAAATGAATAAGAGATTATTCTGTGAAACTTTGAAATGGAACTGAAATTCAGTGAATGACAAGATGATTTTTATCTTTCCATTAAATAGAGGAGATTGAGGAGAAGGTGATGGTAGACTGGAGTTTAGGGCTCAAGGACAATAGAAAAGATTTTGAATAATCCCCAAAGGGAATCATCCAGAGATAAATACAAATTTTGCCAGGAAATACTGAAAAATAAAGTAATTAAATCTCATAAATTTGTGTTGAAGCCAGTTGGTATCTTTCATTGACTTTCTCCATCTATTTTCAGGCCATGGGGAATGAAAATATGGACATAGGACTATGAGATTTTGGGTGGACTAGACTCTGGTAAACAAACACACATTGACCTTGGTGGAAGGATGAGTTGGGTGCAGACTTTTGTGGTATAGATTTGAGTTAAAATGACTAACTTTTAAGGTATACAATGGATAAGGAAACAAATATATCTTAAAGGAAGTTGATAAACCAAGAAAATGGGAAGTTACACAAGAAGAAATTAAAGACCTGAGTAGCAAATGGCACAGTTGAAAGGTCAGTAGATTGTATCTAGAGCAGAGAAAGAATTTCATACCTGAAATTTTAGAAGCAGGGCAAACATTCTTGGTAAAGATAAGGGCCACATTGCAGCCAATGCTGCTGAAAAGCTGCGAGGAATTGGAAGCAAAGCAAGGAATTGGAACTGAGATCCATGTGAAGCCACAGTGGACACTGAGTTGAAGAGACCTTAACTAGGATGTTGAGACTGCTGAGAAGACAGAATGCACCTGCAATAGGTAGAAAAGCTGTTGATCAAAAGACAAAAGCGTCAAGAAAAGTAAGAGACTGTTTTGTTACTGGATATTTGTGGATAGTATGTTATGATTGGTGGGACTACCTTGGATGGGGTGGATATTGTGGACCAATGGAGGGAACAAATATTGGTGGAAGCAGTCTTGAAATACAAAGACAGTTAGGATTTGGGGTGGTGGGATCAGAGTGATATCCACTTGAAGTGGCTGGGAAGAATACAATGTAATGTACAGAAACAAAGTTTATGTTGAAAGTAGAAGGAGGATATATGGTGAATTCCCACTGAGACGCATGTTTAATTACCGTATGTAAGTGGTTAAAAAGGGCTTGCTAGGATGAAGATGGGGAAGTCAAGCTGGGTTGGGATAAAAGTTTGTTGAGGTTACTTTTGAGACTAGGATAATAATTACTAATGACAAGGATCAGGGGAGATGATTGTGAAAGGTAGAAACTCGTGCTAATACACATGCTAGGAGGCATGAAGTACGCTGTTTATTAATAGTTAGCTATATGAAATTAACTTAACTTAGGTTTCTAATTAAAACTGTAGTGTATCCAACTGAATTGCCACTTGGAATGTTGATGTGACCAATTGAAATTGCTAATTGGAATCAATTAAAATATTATCTTCATTGGCTGGGACACTGACATGGCCAATAATAACTCAGTAATTAAAGTAGCTAGAGGGATGTAGAAAATAATGGAAGTAGAATAAACTCTTAGCTTTGGGGAGAGAGATATTCTGAGGGCTTTTTGAATCTCCCAAATAAACGCTGAGTGTTAATCCATAGCTAGAACTGTGTCAATGTGGTCTTAAGATACAACAGGACTTTGTTTTAGTTTTCTTCTCTGGATGTTGGCTGTGGTAAGTACTTAAAAACTTATTTATTAAGTAAATAAAATATCATGAAGAATTTTTGTTATTCTTGTTAGAATCTCAGTTTTATGGAACAATGGTTATTATCTTATGTGCCTTCCTATTTGTGGTTCCTTTTCCCCCTTTGCATTAGCAGCTGAAAAAGCTCACATATAAATTATAACCCAAGTCTAACTGCTTATAGAACGTTGTGGTAGGCTTCTCTACCAACTGTAACTCTGGCTTCAACTTATTTTCCTGCATGCTTTGATTTTTATGATTTTTATCTTTTTGTTTGTAATATTTATTTTTGCCAACTGATTTAAATAGTACTTAGTACAAGGCAGGTAGATGTAAGGCTGGTGAGATTGACAGAGAATGAGGTGATAGAGGAAAAGAAGCAGATAAGGAAGGGGAGTTGGGAGAGTAAGGCATGGGGGAGGATTACCTCTTAAGATGTTCCACTCATCAGGACTCAGAGAAGCAGTCATTCCTGTGTGCACCCTGAGAATGGCTTGTGGCCCTTCAAGGCCCGTGTAGCTTTAGGCACTAGGCCTTTGTAGATACCACTTACTTGTTAAATTTTATCACCTTGAGTGGATGTTTCCTGGGCTCAGTGAAAATTTGCTGATGGCCTTTTTTCTCTCTATTGAAAAAATGTTTAAACTCTTTGACATCCTCTGTTTGGCAAGCAGTATGATACATTAGACAGAAATGAGTTCTGGAATTAACTAGACATTGCTTTGAAAACTAGCTCTGCTGCTTATTGGCATGTGACCTCAGCCAAAATATTTATGTAGCTTTTCTGCACTTAGTTTTTAAAATGCTCTTCCTTCTGCTTGTTCACTCCCCAAATGGTCACGAGGACCAGAGTTGGGCACTCATATGGGATGTCAGTCAGCACCACAGGTAGAGTTTTAGCTTGCTCTTATGCTATGCCAGTCAGAGCCCTTTCTGTACTTATTTAGCCTTTTGTATTTATCCCCTCATCTGTAAAATCAAGATACTTTGTACTGCCAAATATCTGAGAAGGTTTATGCTGGCAATGTATGTTAAAGCACCTAGCAATGCATGGCAAGAGAAGATATAGAAATTTTAGTTTTTAAAAAATGTTGTTAACGTGAGTTTATTTGTTTTGGCAGAAAGGACCTGCTGCTTTGTCTTAAAAATAGAGAAAGAGAATTTTTTTTTTCATTGAGTGTACATATCCATTTCTCTATACTTGCAGATAATGAATAATGGTTTTTGTGGGCAAATGAGAGATATCACTCATTGTCTTTCAGAACACAGTGGGTGATATCAGGGGCTAGGCTATCTCTGAGTGACCCTATGTGATTGCAGACCCGTCTCTAAAGGGTCTGTGGCACATAAGCATCAGTTTCAATTCTGTGATGTCCAACATATGACTTAGACAGTGCTTTACGTTCAGACCTGGAGCTGTCTTTGTTGCCATGGTGATTGGTGATTTGAAGCTTGTTTTTACTTGCAGGAGCTGCTAAGTCGCACATCTCTTGAGACCCAGAAGCTCGATTTGATGACCGAAGTTTCTGAGCTGAAGCTCAAGCTGGTTGGCATGGAGAAGGAGCAAAGAGAGCAAGAGGAGAAACAAAGAAAAGCAGAGGTGGGTATGATATGCTGAATCCTAAGGAAATTCTGTATTATCATAAAGTTAGATTTGGGGAAGTTATCCTAATATGGACTTAGGCCATCTGGTCAACCTCAAGCCTGGCAGCCCTTGGGTGCCACAAGTATCTATGCACTAGAGGAAGAATGTTTTGTTAATACCAAGTTATCGCATTTTGCTATAGCTGCAAATTTTTCAGCAATACCCAAACCACTAAGTTCTGGCTTTCAGGCTCTATCCTCCCTCAAATTGCTGACAAGGATGGAAGGAAAGGGAAGCAGTGGCAAGGGAAGGACCAGGCAAAACCTGGGGGACACAGGATGTCTTCTGTGAGAACCAGTTGATTAGCCCCTCAGCGGGCTATTGTCACAATATCCAAGGACATTGGAGACTTTTTCTTTTGATGTGCACTTCACTGACCCACATGGAAGTCCCAGGGGATTGGCTTCTTTTCTCATGGTGGGTCATAAGGGTGAACTGGGACACAAACCTTGTAGAGGTTTTGCATTTTGTTTTTCAGACTCCACGTGCTATTGGTTGGAGTATGCCAGAACTCTTTTTGAATATGTATTTAGCAAATTTGTAGGCTGCTTTATTTGAGAAAGCAGCCTGTTTAAGTCTAGATCACTATCTTCCTTTTTTTCTCCCTTCACATCCTTATAGTCACTCCTGGTAATGTGAGATATAAAGGAGCTATGTTCTGTGCTTGGAACCTCATGCTGATATTCTTTTTTTTTTTTTTTTTAACTTTTTTTTTCTTGACAATCTTTACATAGTTAATTAGGGCAAAAGGGTTCAAGGGCTACAGGAAAGTGGGTAAGACTATTATTTCCACATTGTTTTTTTCCTGAATCTGTGGTAAAGGGGGAGATAAAGGGAGAAGCCCCACCCAGGTTCCCACCCATCCCAGGTCCCTGATGTGGGGCATGCTCCGAGGGTCTTGCTCAAGTGGATTTGATAGTTCAGTAGTTCTGAATTGCTGCCAATCTCACCATTCCAAGCATGATAAAATCTCTTTAGAATCCACTGATTGACATAGTCCACCTTAGAGTCTATTTGCCCAGTTTTGATTGATTTGTTCTGTTCTCTGTTGTGATGTCAGGTATCCTCTGCAGGTTCCGATAGACTGCCATATCCTCCGTGTGCAGCTGGTTATGCTCTCCACTGCTCCGTTTGAGCCTCTGAGGAGGCTCGACTCTGGCACTTGCATTCCATGGCAGTCCGGCAGTTCGATTGGGGAGGTCCCAAAAGAAACTTTTAGGTGATCCCAAACCAGATTCTTGAGTGTACTTGCAAGTACAGGGCCCAGTACAGTCCTCGCTCCAACCAGATGGTGGTTGCAATTGCTGGTTTGATTCTGTTTCCAGCCCTGTCTTCCACACGAACCAATGGGTGTTGCAGTCCAGCCTGATTCTGCCGAGCACACACTTGGCCCTCATATAAACCAGTGGAAGCTGCAGCCTAGTTGGAGCGACCCACGATAACCCCCACCAGGCCTGCCCCCTACCTTGGTTCCCGTGCTTGCCAGTATGTACAGCAGACCAGTCCAGTCTGTCCCACATCCCATTCAGCTCTCATACATGTCAGTGGTCATTGAAGCCTAGTTCAACCTAACCAGCTCCGCTATCCAGTTCATACACATGCTGTTGGGTGCTTTTCTGTCTAGCCATTCTTGCCCCTGTCCTGGTTTTCATGCTCAAGAGGGAGGAGCCCACTATTTCCCTTCTAGGCCACTCCCACTCCGGATTATGCACTCTCTAGGTGGTTCTGGAATTTAACTTGACAGATTTAGCCTCCAGTGCCAGCCCCTGCCATCTGATGCCATGACTGATATTCTGATCTAATTTCACAGCTCTATGAACCTCAACAAGTTAACTACTTAATCACTTTGAACTTCAGTTTCTTTATTTGGATTACTCTGCGGTAAAGTCTAAATAAAAAGTTGCTTTTGAGAGCATGTTCATTAATAAAAAGTATGGTTACCTAAAGCAGATAGTCTACAGTGAGCTGAAGCTAATAGCTTCTCTTGAAAAAGTGCAGTCTAGGGCCTGGCACGATAGCCTGGTGGCTAAATCCTTGTCTTGAACGTGCCAGGATCCAATATAAGCCACTGTTCATGTCCCGGCTGCTCCACTTCCCACCCAGCTCCCTGTTTGTGGCCTGAGAAAGCAGTAGAAGATGGGCCAAGGCTTTGGGACCCTGAACCTGTATAGGAGACCCAAAGGAGGTTCCTGGCTCCTGGCTCCTTGCTCTGGTGTAGCTAAGCCCCAGCTGTTGAGGCCAGTGTGAACCAGTGGATGACAAGATATTTCTGTCTCTCCTCTCTGTAATAATGCCTTTCCATAAAGATAAGTAAATCTTTAAAAACATGAAAAAAGAAAAGAAAAAGTGCAGGTGAATATATGAGATCTCCCACTTTAATCCAACTTAGCTACTCCTTAGCTTTGTGATCCTGGGAAAATTTTTTAATTTCGTTGTTTTTTCTTTTGTGAGATGGAGATAGCAGTACTTCGTCTTTCTTTGATTATTCTGCAGAGGGTGTGCAGCCCTTGGCATAGTGCTAGATATGTGGCAGTAGTTAGGTTATATTGATCACTTACTGATAATGACGTTAAGCATGGTAGAAATGGAAATGCAGACTTATACATAGTTTATATACTGCCAAAAAATCACACATACTAAAAATTGATCTGTGTGAGATATTGAATGGATTCTGTTTCTAAAACATTCAGAAAGATAGAATTGAATTTTCTCCTGGCTTAGAGTTGTTTTCCAGTGTTTCAAGAAAATGTGATTACATGTGAATTTTGGGTGCAGAATTCAGTAAACTGTGAGAAGGCAGAGAATGAACTCAAAAACTCTTTTAAAAAGAGAGGCGAGTTGTTAGATCACACAACTTGAAAATCCAGGGTTTAAAATGTCCACCATGAGTCCCAACAATTACTCAGTGTCACTAGAGCAAGTCTTGTATTTCTTGGCTCTGATCTAGCCTTCCCCTCGGGAAGATTGTCTCCCTGTGGTGACAGAGGTGGCCATCAGTGGCTCCAGACCTGGCAACTCCCATAGAGAGAGATGTTGTTTTCAAAGCTTCCAGGAAAAATGCCAATATTACATCTCAAATTGGGCCAATTTAGATCACATGCTCCCTTTGCACTAGTTGCTACAAGAATCACATATGACACCCTGTGGTGCATGTGTGAGTCAATCCCTCTGTGCAGGACTGCAGAGTTGGTACCACATGGGGACAGCTGAGGCCTTTACAGGGAAGTCTGGAAAGAAGGAGAGCTCCTACTTCTGGGACAAATACCACTAAAGCAGTTATTTTACTTTGCTTACTTGCTTTCTGAAGATTGTTTTTAAAGCTAATTTTTTTTGTTTTCCGTCCACCTGTAAATGCATGAGACAACATAGTTCCTGAGCCTCTGGCCCCCATCCTAAGAGATAACAGCCCTTCCCAGTTGCTAGTACAAATATTAGGTTTCCAAGTGCAGGAATTTTGCAGGCTATTCAAACCTGTGATAATCAGTGAGCAGTCACGTGACCTAAAACAAATTTCTCATTCTTATAATTGAGCATAGTCTTCGCTGATAGGTCCAGACCCCTGCCTCTGTGGCTGTCAGGAGCACCAGGGAGTGCAACCACGTGGTACTGCAATGGAGATGTTTACTTCAGGTGACATTTTGCTAGCTAAGGTCACCAGGGACTGCAATTGCAGGAATAGGGAGAATGCTGCCTCCCATCGTACATTGCTGCTATTTTTCTAATGAGAGTATTTAGCCTAAGGGCTGATTGCCTGTGGTTTAGAAAAAGCAGGGCTTTTTTTTTTCTTTCTTACTTTCTAGTAGCCAAAATTGTAACTTCCTTAGTGTAGTTCAGGCTTTTCTTAAATTCCATTTCATGTTTCAATGACAAAAGAGGATGCTATTCACTAGAGCATCACAGACTGCTTTTTCTGCTCTGATAAAGACCACCCTACATCAGTCACGTTGTAGAGAGGGCTAAGTCCTGGTGTGGCTGAAAGACCTGAGGACTTGGAGACCCAGATTTCATGATGTCTGGTTGTGTGCTGGAGTCAGTGAGTGGCCTGTGTGAGATACTGGTAAACAGTACATTTCATGTTTATTTTACCTTTTCCTGTCAGCTGGTTGCAAAATTTCTGGCTCATAAAATGCTCAAATCACTTGTGTGTACTCCTAAGAAGTAACATTGCAGAAGAGTGATTGATGTGGAAAATAAATACTAGAATTAGGATGATGGAATATGAAAGATGCCGAAGCCAAGCAAAATATCTCTGTGGCACACCAGATCAAAGGCATTTCAAAGGCACATTAATCAGAAGCCTTTTCCTCATGGAAGGGGTTATGGGGCTCCTGCCCACTGGGAGTACGGAGCTCTAAAGCTGGATCCTGTAGTGGAGTTCAAAGTTTCTGCATTCATTTCCCAGAGCAGGAATCCAGGATGTGCTAGGAATGAAGTTGTCCCAGTTAATCAGGTATACAAATGAGCAGGAAGAGATCTAGAAGGAAACTTCAGTACTTCCTGGGAGAAATTGGAATTTCATCCCACTAAATGGTGGCACCGCTACCCCTTCTTGCTTTCCATGGCCAGGAACTTGGAAGGAAGGAACTCTTGATTTCTGAACTGGGACAGCCAACACGAGAGGTGTGTAATGCAGAACGAAGGCTAAGAAGTTGTTTGCTCAAAGTGGAATTGACTTGACAGGCAGTTTTATTCTTGTTTTAATTTTGTTTGCTATGGTTATTATGGTAAATACATTCCTGCAATTCAAAGACAAAGAGGCAAGGGTTTGGTGCATCTGGGTAGGCCACTGCTTGGGATGCCCTCACTTCATATTGGAGTGCCAGTTTGAGCCCTATATTCTGCTATTGCATCTTGGGCCAAAGAAGATGATTGCCAAGTGCTTGGCCTCTGCCACCCAAATGGGAGACCTGGATATTGCTGCCTCTTGGCTTTGTGGCTGTGTGGACATTTTAGAA